CTACACGTAAACACTAGATTGGCGTGAAAGATATCTTCCGTTACCTTAAGGGTACTACGGATTTGGGCTTGTTCTATCCCTATGAATTCTCGAATGGTGCCACACCCTATGCTCTTCGAGTTGATTCTCATCTTGTTGGTTATGCCGACACAGGATACTTATCTGATCCGTACAAGGCGCGTTCTCAAACGGGTTAGGTCTTTACTGTTGGAGGCACCGTAATCTCTTAGAGGTCAACTAAATAGACCTTAGTTGCCACTTCGTCTAACCATGTTGAAATTCTCACCTTACATGAAGCAACTAGGGAATGCTTTTGGTTAAGAGCAGTAGTGGACCATATTCGAAGCTTCTATGATCTTTATGCCACCGTTGATGTCTCGACGACGATCTTTGAAGAAAATGCAGCATGCATCGAACAACTCAAGAATGGTTCCATCAAAGGAAACAACACCAAACACATTGCGCTGAAGTTCTTCTTTTCACATCAACAACAAGAGCATCAGAAGATTGAATTCATGCAAATCCATTCACAAGACAATCTGGCTGACCTCTTCACCAAATCACTGCCGAATGCGACGTTTCAGAAGCTTGTTCATGGAATTGGTATGTGTAAACTTTCTGAGTTATAACTTTGCTATTTCTCTTTGGAATTGTGTCAAACTCAGGGGGAGTATCCTATAGATACTTGCTTGATCTTAATGTACTCCTTTTCCCTACGATTAGGAGCATTTTTCCCACTGGGTTTTTGCTACCTAATTAGGTTTTAACAAGGCACCCACCTTGGGCTGGTCATATCCCTGATGACGTCCCCGTAGACGTTTCTTTTGACTTTGCATTTCTCACACATTTTTCCTTAGACTATGGATTTTGTCCCTCCTCGGGTTTTTGCCATAGCCTTAGGGTTTTTTAGTGAGACATACTACTTATGCAAGTTCCTACCTTATCGAGAATAAGTGTTATTCCTTAGAATCAGTGCCGACGAGTCAACTTCCTCAACTTCTACATGATGCTAAATCTACTTGAGTATTTACACACTCAAGGGGGAGTGTTGTAAACATTCCTAGTTTAAGTGTGATTGTGTAAACCCTAGATTAGATTTGATTATAGTTATCATTTCTTATTGTATATTGTATTCCTTGGGGATGAAGGAATATCTTCTTTCCTTTTACTATTATAAATAAAGGCACAATGTTGGAGGGATAACAACACACATTCCCTACAAACACATCTCTCTCTCTCTTCTCCTTGATGTCGACCCTCTTTAACCTTGTCAGATAAAATAGACTGCAACATATTGTAAATTATTGGTATAGGTATATATTATTGTTTAAACCCTAGCCAAGCAATGTAAGTTGTAACAATGAAATTCTTGGAAGTTTGCTTATTTGGATCACAGCAACGAGAGCATTAGATTTGCAAATCTCTATCAAGTTTAATACAACCCTAACCCAAGTCTTAATCACGTTATTAACAATGCAACGCAGGATTAATACAAAGACTCCCATGCTTATAATTTTCTAAGTTAAAATCATTGCAGCCATGGGATTAATTACCAGGTACAAGAACACACTAGCTTTCCGAAGGATAAGGCAAAATCGATGAGGCAATTGCCTTATCACTTTGCACAGGACAAAAATTAGCCTCATGTTCTAATTTTTTTTTTTAACAAACAATATTATCTACACCAGAATAAGGGAGTGGGTTTAGCCTCACAATGGGTTAGCTGATGCGAGATTTATACGCACACAAATTAAACCCTCTTTTTGTCAATTGTAGTATAAGTATAAGTAGGGATCGTTCTAGACCGGGGATTAGGAGGGCTTGCTAAAACCTTCTAAATTAACTTAAAAACATAAAAACACAATATAAAACACTATTTAATGCTCGAAGAAAGCAAAACTAAAAATAAGAAAGATTAAGACTAAGACTTCAACGAAATAGGGGGGAATTGGATTTGGAAGAATTTAAACTAAAGCGTAAAAACAATAAAACAAACCAAAAGAATCAAAATGCTTTAAAAACACAAACTAAATTGATTTCTAACTATATTGAACATTAAAGCAAAAGGGGGATTGAGGTTTGATGAAAATTGAAATAACGAAACAAGTTAATAACTAGACAGAATGTAATTGATGAAATAAGATGGTTGGTGAATTAGCTAGAGGTTCTTTCTCCACACATGATATTTATGCATATGAATCAATTTCCAGTTATTCCTTCATTGAATTATGAACGACAATGCCCCAAATTAACCGTGACATCACTAGTTAACCCTCAGATTTTCCTTATATTATTGGATTGGATGGCATCATTCGACAACCCAAAACATTCTCAAAAGTTCCCTACATGTCATCATAATAGAGATACAATCGAAGATCATTAAGAATAATGAAAACCATAAGCATTGACAAAGCACTTGCAACTATGACATCATGTTACTCATGCTAAGAATTAAACTTAACGCGATCGTGACAAGCGACCTTCACTACTTTCAAGTATAAGTTAGTAACGATTATGTGAAACCTTCTTAAACTTTAGCCACATATTCATGCATGATAATTAAGTGTCGACCCTTAATCAACAAACACAAATAAGTTAATCATCAAATAGTTAAGCCAATTGCATTCACGAATCAAGAGTTCATAACCGGAATTCATCAATTCATATTACATAAATAATCATGGTATTGAAATCACCCCTAGCCAAAAAGGGTTTAGTTCCTCATAACTTTGAAATCAAAGAAACACCTAAACATTCCAACAACTCAAACTTGAATTGTATGAACGTTTAGGCACTCTTCTCTTCCTCTTCTCATATTACAAAACAAAGAGAATTGAATTTAAACATTGAAATCAAAGAAACGCGTAAACATTCCAACAACTCAAACGTGAATTGTATGAACGTTTAGGCCCTCTTCTCTTCCTCTTCGTTGTAGCACAAGGACTAAGGGATGTTGTTGGTGTGTTGAATGGATTGGGGGATTATGGAAATGGAAGAAATGGAGAAAAACTCACGGCTAGGGAGAAGATGGAAGTGTTTGTGGTGTGTTGTGTATGAGATGATTTGAATGAATGGGAATGCAAGGGTATTTATAGGAGGAGTGGAGGGAACATATGGATGTTTGTTTAAGCATTTGTGTGAAGGAATGATGAAGAATTGCATGTGGAATTAAAGAATGAGTGGTGGTGTAATGATGAAGTGAATGCATGTGGAATTAAAGAGGGAGAATGTGGTGAAATGATGAAGTAGGAAGGTGGAAATGCATGTGAGATGTTGGAAAGGAAATGGGAATATGAGTAGGCCATGGCATGGGAGTTGTTTTGTTGGTGTAAATGTGCCATGGTTGCAATGATGAAGAATAAAGAGTGCATGTGGGGTGGAATTGAATGAATGCAAAGTGAATGAATAATGAAATGAGTTAAAGAGGGAGAATGTGGTGAAATGATGAAGTAGGAAGGTGGAAATGCATGTGACTTGTTTGTGGAATAAAGAATGAATGGTGGAATGATGAAGAGTTGCATAAAGAATGCATGTAGGGTTAGCTAGGTTGGCTTTGTTTGGGTGCATGTGTGTTAATGGTGATTTTGCATGTGAATTGATGGATTGTTTTTTATGGAATGGATGGTTCTTTGCATGGCTTTTGAAGTGATTGTGGGCTTTGGAATTGGAAGGAAATGCATGGCCTTGGGGTTGGTTTAAGAGAGAATGGGCTAGGCCCTTTGTTTTATGTCCAAAATGAATACAAGGCCTTCAAATTCGTCCAACACTTTGGCTCCAATCATATGCTATCCATTCCAAGCCCAATTTTGCTCCAAAATGCTCCAAAATGCATCTTTTTGCTTCCTTAGCCATATGAACCTAAAAACACACGAAAATGGCTTAAACTACTAAAACAACTATGAATTAACAACATAGATGCACGAAAACAAGCTAAGTAAGTCGCCTAAATATGCTCCTATCATTAGCAATAATGTTTTTTAAATTCGCCTTTGGCAAAAATCGAACGTAAGACATTTCACTTACTAGTGAAGAGGAATACCACTAGACTGTAGTACTAAGTGACAAGATGCTCTAATTAGTACAATGATATCACTGTTCCTAACGTCGGAAGAGATTCGTAGTTTGAATTCCCCATCAATAGATAAAAAAAGCAACATTTTGATTTTGGCCCCTATAGCTTGGGATTCTTGTAATTTGAAGAAAATGACTTAATCAATCGCATATCCGAAGAAATCAAAAAACCAATGGGAAGGCTTGCCCTTTTTTTTTTGGAGAAAAGATCGATAGATTTCATTAAAAGCCCAAATGGACAACAACACGGTTACATATTAGCCTTCTCAAATAGAAGGTCTGAAATGAGGTGCCGTGGAGCCCCATCCTAGGTACAATTAATTCCACAAGGTAGGGCAGCACGTGCTAGGCGATGGGCAAGGCCATTGGTTTGATGACAAACATGGGTATAAGAAACTCCAGTGACTGAAGCCAACAAAGTTGTTGTGTCTTTGATAATATGCCCAATCATTGACATATTAGGAGAAGGATCACGAAGGCTAGCGAGTTATATGGATCAAAAAGTAACTTTCCCCTTGTTTGTTTCTCCTTGCGCCTTTGTCTTTTGGCTTTAGAACTAGCTTAGCTCAGTCTTGTTTAGTAAATAAATATTCAACGAGTCAGTATCTTTAGTTTAAGTTCCTTGCGACTATTGTTAATTCTCTTCAGTGAGCCTAAAGCATAGGAGGATAAATTGGCTTCTGGAGTTGCAAAACATGCCTCTCACTTGTTATTTCGTGAAAAAAAGTAACGCACTTAAGTTAAAATACAACAATTGTTTCACTAGGTAGGTTAAATTTGGACAAATGAACCTATAAAAACCAAATTGAAACATTGGAGCAGCCCATTAATAATTTTCTTACAAAAGCCCGCCGCCCGGCCCAATGTCACAGACTCAGGCGGGTACCAAGAAACAGTACCGCCCACGTATCCAATTCCTCATCCGCACACGTTCACCTCCTGAACCTCTCTCTCTCTGCGAAGGTCGATTATTTTCTAGGGTTTGTGAGCTGAAGCTTCATACCTGAGCCAACAGGGAAGATGTCGAATGTGGGAACTTCGAAGGGACTTCTGGAGATCGGAAAATTTGGCCTGTACGTCTCCATCCCCATCGTTCTTATGTACTCCTTCGCCAACAACTCCAAGAATCTCCAGAGATTCATGGGCAATGTAATCTCTCTATTTCTCTTTACACACACACACACACACACTGATGTTGTATTAATTTAATTTTTTGGATGTATAAACTGGAATAATTTTTAGATACCGAAAGAATCTGGTTGAAATCTGAATTGGGTTTATTGGATTATAACGTTGTAGTGTGAATAAATTGAAGGATTCAAAGTTGAGATGATAGTAAATCTGAAATTTCACAATGATTAAGTTAGAACTTATTATATAGCGAGAGGCTTGGTGAAATTTCACGTGGGTTTATTAATTTAACCATGTTTTAGAGGCAATCAATGTATGGGTTTAATTGTGTTGTTATGGGGTGCAGCATTCGTATGTAGTATATCCACCAGAGGCACCGAGACCTCCATCACCGGAGGAAATGAGGGAGATGGCACGAGAGCTAGCTCGGAACAAGGCTGGCCGTTGAGGCTTTTGCTGCCTCTGTTGTAACTTGTAAGTGCCTTGCTGCTATAGAGAAAGGCTATATTTGTATTTGGATTTGTGTTTAAATAAATGGCGAGGCAGAGGGGTTAGTAAGTGGATTAGCTGTTCGAATACACGTATGAACTTGTAATGTTGGTGATGGGGTTTGGCCTCCTCTGTTTCGGTTTGAAAAATATGAAACTTGAATGAGCTTTGTGACTGGGGATGTGATGTAATACCGTAAGAGCATGAATGGAATGGAACCACTACTTGTTGCTTTCAATGATTTGATTTCGTTTATTGGCGATGTTATCGACCAAGTATCACCATGCCCGTGTACTACTAACTGTGCTGAGGTTGTGCTTGAATGTAGTTTCAGATGGTTGGACTTGTCTCTCCTTTACTGTTGTGTTGATTCCATGCTTTACTGCTCTGATCCATTGGGATTAATTGTTTTTGTGGACTTGCAAACTCGAGCCATTGCTGCATTTTTCATTCAAATGCCCTACAATCGCCGGGAAAACCTTTCTCCGGCCTGTAAATTGGGGTTGAGGGAGTTGAAGAGCTAATTCCTCTGGGTTTCTAATTAGCCGGGTGGCCATCTGAAGGGCTAAACCGGAAACCAGAGGCCGTTATGGATGCTATAACAAAAATTCATAAGAAAATTCAACCAAAAAAATAAAATAAAATAATTCGTAAGAAAATATCTCCAGTAATCTTCTTCATCTTAATTGGATTTGGGCTTTTGAATTTGTGCTGCAGCTACTCTTTCCCTGTGCCAACTCATGAACTGAAAGTCCGCCGGACTGATGGCCGTCACAGAAATGGGAGTGCTGGCAATCTTTGCACTAATCTTTGCAAAAACAACTTTAATGCTTTTGGCTAGAAATTAATGATGAAAAATAGAGAATATAATTTCAAGACAAATGCTAGGGGCAGAGCCGGCCCTGAGGGAGTGCAAGAGGTGCACCCGCACAGCCCTCGATTTTTAAGGGCCCGAAATTTTTAACGTTACACAATTTATATAGGTTATATATGTTGTGGACTACAATAGGTTATATAAGTTGTTGTGGACTACAATAACAAAGTCAGCTCTTAGTGCAAATGGTGTTTCTTTCTTAAGTTTCACGCGAGGTTCTTTTTCGTGCGTATTTTTAATAAAGAAGGAAAATTTGATACAGCAACGCCAAATGCTTCAAAAACAGGGCCTCGTATGGCTTAAAAATCTATGACCAATTCAACCAACTATATAAATATATATCTTTGTGCTGAAATAATTTTAAAATGAAAAGACAGCTGAAGAATTGATGTGTAGCATCAGTTCGCGATAAATTTTTTCTTAGTTAAAATTTCCGGCCCTGCTAGAGAGGCTTGGTCAAAAGTGGCATTTTCTATAGATACGATGTCACCTCATGTTTTTGACATAATATTAGCACAAGAATTGACGCTAAACTTTGATATGTCAGAAAGTTTATGGAGAGAAGAAAATTTTCGTTGTGTGCGAAACACGGATGGTTTGACTCTTACTTCAATTTTTATTTTATTTTTTATACAAGCGATATTGGAAGAGAAAGAACTTAAACTCAATATTTCGAATATACAAGTGAATTTTCTTAACTATTCAGATCTAAACTCTTACCTTTTGTTTTTTAAATTACATACGTAAGTTGCATGTATTATTGTCTCACCTTTATATAACATCTGTAATTACAATGGCATAAAATCAACAACGACATGATCAACAACCTTCCTCAAGTACGTGGAAATTTCCTGATCTTTCGTACAATTCCACGGTCAAATGAACCGTGGTTTACAAGTCGAAAACACAAATTTCCTGGGAAAAACACACACACACACACACCCACGCACACGCACACAACAAGAAAGAAAGCACAAAAGAAACTCTGAATTTTCCACGCCGCGTCTGAATTAAGTAATTTAAAATTAATAACCAATATTCAATAAATGGTGAGTGACAGCCACAGAAAGAAGCCTTGACTTGCTTAAGTCTTCCCCCTGCAGCGATAGCAATAGGCTAATAGACTGATAGCAATGGCAATAGCAAATTAGCAAGTGCTATTTTCCAACCGGAGCAAATCTTTGATCGCTTTAACCCCAACTTTTCCAAGTGTAAAATATGATGATGCACTTCTCTTGTGGCAGGTACCTAATTCTCATTGCTTTTTCTGGGTTTCTCATGTTTTAATATACTTGTGCTTATTTTTCTTGCTTATTTCTATCCGAATTAGTTATAAGTACATGCAAGTTCTCTCGTTACCCCGACCTGTTTGATAACTGTTTCGTTTACCAGTTTGAAACTGAAAGTATTTCGTTTGCCAGTGTTACAATGTTCATCTTCTGGACCAGTTGGATTATCCACTTTCCTTCCGTTGACATGTTCCGGCCAACGGATTAGTGGCCAAAACTAAAGCTGAGATATTTCTTTCTGATTTTCTCAGCTTTTTAACCAGGCACTTTCATTGTGATTGAACTCTTAAACTTGTAAATTTTTTTCGATTAGCAGAATTTCAAAATTCAAAGGTTTCCGTGTGGAAAGGTGTGACTTGTTCGTTGCGATTTGGATTGCAGTTTATTTTTCAACTTTAAAAAGTAACTTATCCTTGAGCAACTAGAATGTTGATTGGTACAAATTCTTGGTATTTTTGTGTGTTTTTCGTGTGCAGGACAAGTATGCTTCGGTAGTTTTAGCCTTCATCTCATAAGCGATCGTGTTTCTGTTCGAATAAAGGATTTGGCGTAGAGTATAACGATGGCGTTGGAACTTATACCTATTGGTACCATCTTGGCTGTGCTAACGAACCAGGTCATTAAAACAGCCAACGCTGCGAAAGATGTTCTCGAAAAGGAGAGTTTCAAGGTCCTTTCGAACCACTTGCTTGACATTGGATCGGTTTTGAAAGAACTACAGCATCAAGAATTGAATGATTCACAAGCTGCAAGGCTTGCTTTGGGGTCCCTCGAAACAGATGTTAAAAGGGCTAATAATCTGGTTGACAAGTACAAAAATCGAGCACGTTTCTACTTGCTTGTCAAGTGCAGGCACATTGTCAAGGAGGTACAAGACGTTACCAGGGATATTGGAAGGTCTTTGGCTGCTCTCTCCCTTGCAAGCAACGATGTCTTATTGGGGATATCTGATCAGGTGAATAGGTTACAGAATGAGATGCAAAGAGTGGAAATTGAGGCTTCACAGTCTCAGCTCCAAGTTTTCGACAAGCTAAAACAAGGTCTTGATGATCAGACCCTTGGCCCAGGTTTTGCAAACGACATGCTTGCAGAAATAGCAATGGCAGTTGGGGTGCCTTTAGAGCCCTCGGAGATAAGCAAAGAGCTTGCAGATTTCCGAAAGGAGAAAGAAGAAGCTGCCAGCAGGAAAGAAAGAGCTGAAGTTTTCTTCTTAGATCAGATTATTGAGTTGCTCTCTCGAGCTGATGCTGCGAGGGATTATGAAGAAGTCAAGAAGCAATACAAGCAACGGGTGCAGGCCATAGAGGGGTATGATCCGAGTGAAGAATATATTCCACCACTTAAGCCTTTTAAATGCTGTATTAGAAAAACTGTGATGGCTGAACCAGTCAGTCTTTGCACTGGTACTACATGTGAGAGAGCCGCTATCATAGCTTGGTTTGAAAGTGGCGAGAGAACTGACCCCGAAACTCTTGAGGTTCTTCAAGATACTTCGTGGAGGTGTAACATCCCACTGAGACAATCAATAGAAGAGTGGAGAGAGCTAAATTATTGTCTCAAGATCCGATCTGCCAAGGCAAAGTTGTTATCAGGCGTTGAGACGTCAATGTTAGAGGCCTTAAGCCAAATGCAAGATCTTATGACAGAGAATTCTATTAACAAGGACTGGATCGCCATTGAAGGACTCACCGATATTATAATCTCCATCCTCGGAAATTCTCACAACAGAGAAGTGAAGAGGAAGATTTTGATCACCTTAAAGGATATTGTCGAAGGGCATGCAAGAAACAAGGTAAGCATCTTCGATACTCCTTGTATATATGGAAAACAACTAAAAGAAAGTGAAAGCTGAAAATAAAAAAGAATACTAGAAATCGAATGCCCTTCCTCTAATTCATCTAATTTTTCCTCCCACTCTTCTGATTTTTGAAGTATACAATCTATTATTTCAGAGTTGGACAAAGTTGTGAATTGTTCTCTTTTACGGCCTGAAAATATATGAAATGTTTTGCTGTATTCTAAATCTTTTTTGATCAATTCGTTTAGGAGAAAGTGGTTGAATCCCAGGGGTGGGATCACATCATTCCCTGCTTAGGCCGCGACTCAAGCATCTCGAAGGCTGCAATTGAGTTGCTATATGAATTGTTGCAGGACAGAACTGGTTGGAATGTGTCTGCATGCAGGAAACTCTCTGAACAATGCAGTACAATTCTTTTCCTTGTCTACACCCTTTTAAAGGGAACTGTGAGGGAGTCAGCTGAGATTGCAGAGAAAATCTTGCTGAATCTTTTCGACATAGATGAGGAAAACATTTCTTGTGCAGCTAAATCTGGCTGGTATAAGCCACTTGTTGATCGCATAGTTCAAGGTAAGACGATTCATCTCCTAGGACCTATATAACATCTTCTTTATATTCTATTCCTTCAATCACATAAAAAAAAGAAAAGATTTGGACGTAATAAATCTGTTTTTCTGAATTGCCTTTTTTCATTTAACGATGGATTACTGATGCATTTTATCATTCTAATTTTCAGGGCCGGAAACTTCAAGGTTAGCAATGGTGAGAACACTAGTTAACATGGAATTGGTAGACTCAAATTTGAAGCTTCTTGGTGAGGAAGGGATTATACCTCCTTTGCTCGAAATGGTGTCTGGAAATATTGAATCAAAACAATTGTCCTTATCCGCCTTGGCTGAATTATCAGGTTGCAGTGCCAACAAAGAACTGATTGCTGCTTCTGGTGGGGTTAATCTTGTTCTAAAGCTAGCTTTCACTCCCCGTGTATGCTCAATCATTACTGTTAAATGTTATGAAATCCTGGAGAAATTTACATCTGATACGGATGGGGCTAAATTCTTTGTTGATGAAAATGGTTGTCAACTAGAGTTAGAGCCAATTGTCACCAGTTTGACTGAATTACAACAGAATCCCAACTTGGCCTACAATGTCCGGAGGCCTGCCTTGTTCTCACTTCTTGGAATCTGCAAGTTTGATGCAGGGCTGATAAAAAAGGTTGTTCTCACTGCCAATGCCATATCTGTAGTCCTTCCTCTACTTGATCACTCTGACTCGGAGATTCGAGAGATTGCCATAAATTTGCTTTTCCTCTTCTCACAGCATGAGCCTGAGGGGGTCGTGGAATACCTTCTCAAGCCAAGAAGGCTGGAGGCTTTAGTGGGGTTCCTTGAGAATGATGACAAGGATGATGCACAGATGGCTGCTGCTGGATTATTGGCAAATCTGCCAAAATCCGAAAGATTAATAACTAAGAAGTTAATCGAACTGGATGGACATACTGCAATCATAAACATTTTAAGAACAGGGACTATGAAGGCAAAAGAAAATGCTCTAAGTGCTCTTTTCAGGTTTACGGATCCCACAAACCTGGAATCGCAGCGTAAGCTGGTTGAAGGAGGAGCATACCCTTTGCTCGTAAACTTTCTCAGGTCCAGCTCAGTGACTGCAAAGGCGAGGGCTGCAGCTCTGATTGGTAATCTTTCCACAAGCACTCCAAAGCTCACCATGGTCTCCAAACCCTCCGGCTGCTGGTCATGTTTCAAGCCATCCGGCACTCCACCATGCTCAGCACACGGTGGTATCTGCAGTGTGACTTCCACATTCTGTCTTTTGGAAGCGAAAGCTTTGCCTGACTTGGTAAGGCTCTTATCGGGAGAGGTCTATGAAACTGCCATCGAAGCAATTCAAACTCTTTCGACATTGGTTCTCGAAACCTCTCCTCAAAGAGGAGCCAGTGTCTTGCATGACGCTGATGCCATAAATCCGACGTTGGAGATATTGTCTTGGGGAACGGATTCTCTGCAAGAAGACGCATTGAGTCTTCTCGAAAAGGTTTTCATGTCGAAGGAAATGGTTGAGGTGTATGGATCAGCAGCTAGATTAAGTCTTGCTGGACTAACTAGCAGGAACATTCATGAGGATGGCCGCCATAGGGGGAAGGCTACCAGGGTTTTGTCACTCCTTGAACGTTATTCGAAATCATCGACTTCTATTATTCCGGGAATGATGTAAGGCTAAAAAATTTTGGTTACCAGATCAGAAGAACAAATGTACTTCAACTCTGTTTGGGATTATACCAGGATAGAGTTGGAAAATTTAGTGCATCAATTGTCACTCTTATTAAAACATTCATCAATTGTCTCTCTTTTTACTCCCGTCGAATCTACCTTTCACTTACAAATAAAAAGAAACAGCATTTGACCGTGATACTAAGTGCGTTTTACTCTGCTTTGGATGACTAAATATTCTGGACCCTTTTGAAAATACAGCAGGGCGGGATGGGGCGGATCATGCAAAAATTGAAATAAGAACCGGACCTAATCCGGTTTGTTTCAACGGGCCGATTCCTAGGGGGCTCGTGGGTACATTTCCTATTCCTTCCCTTTCAAATTTCCTAGTACAACCAATTCACCGAAATCTCAAAACCCAATCACAATTTACACAATACACACCAAGTCAATCTCCTCATGAAAAACCTTCATAGTAACTAACTTTAATAAAAAAAAAATTGAAATTTAGACAATCCAGATGACTAATTTCCCAAGATTGCTTTACAATATAACAACCTAATAGATCAAAATCCAAAACAGTGATGGCATGCATGGAAAAATAACAAATTCCCTTTCTGGATCTTTTTTTATTTATTTTTTACTTAGAATCCCCCACAAACAACTCGAAATCAAAAAACAAACCAGAAATATAGCACCAATGGAAGACCTCGAGTGGCAGACACACGTCAACCTCCATAACTGGGTAAGCTTCGAAATTTTTCTCCTAGTCGTGAAGACGCGAAATTTTTCTCCTAGTCGTGAAGACGCTGATCTCCTTCTTCATGAGGCCATCGAGGGAGGCAATGATGTCCTCGTCCTTGATCATCTTTGCCAAAACCCTATTGGCGTCCTTGTGGCGAACATCGTGTATGGACCGACGAGTGAAGCTGAAGTCACGATGGCGAAGAACGGTGGTAGGTGAAGTCCCTAAAGAGACCTCAAGATCGATGCTCGAGTTGCAAATTCGAGAAAGGAGAGACCGAGAGTAAGAGATGTGTTATAAATCAAAGGTGAAGAGTATTACTATATAATGGACGGTACCAACGATTCGGCTAGGGGTCATTTTTTCATAAATTTGCCCACCCCTGTTTGGAGTTTACAAAATTTGTACCCGCCACGTACCTGCCCCAAACTAACTGGACCCGCTTTATCCCGCGGTTCTTAGACCCATTTGCCCACCCCTTGTAGGAATGCCTAGAAATTTGACGGTAAGTAAATGCTCTTAATCACTTGCATATGGTGATTTATCATAGTGACGAAAAAATTATATATATGCACCCTGTTACAAGTTTGATCCCTACCAATCTCTCTCTCTCTCAACAGCTAATAATTTAACTTACTAACGCTATCGTTTATTAAAAATTACTCTTAACTATTTGAGCAACAAGCTCCTTACGGGTTAATTACAATAACACTTCCTGAGGTTTATCGAGTTTAACTACTTGAGCAACAGGCTCCTTACAGGTTAATTACATTAAAACTTCCTGAGGTTTATTGAGTTTTCACAAACCCCATCATGTTTGAGACAGTACATTAACATCCCTTGATGTTTTAGTTTTCTTATAGATAATCCTTTTTAGCCAAATTTCATATAAAAAAAAAAAAAAATCTTAAAGACAAATTTACCCTTATAATTAATTACTTGTAATTAATTAATTTCTTAAGAGTAAATTGTAGCAATGATCCCTTAACTTTAACTCAATTGGAGCAATGGTCCCTCAACTAAAAATCCATTACCATTGGTCCCTCAACTCATCAAAACGTGCAGCTATGGTCCCTCAACTAAAAATTCATTACCATTGGTCCCTCAATTTTAATCCAACTGGAGAAATGGTCCCTCAACTTTAACCCCAATTAGAGCAATGGTCCTTCAACTTTAACCCAATTGTAGCAATGGTCCTTCCAGCATAACTCATTTTGACAAAATTCTGACGAAATTGACGAAAATGACCATAGCTACATGTTTTGATGAGTTGAGGGACCCCAATTATAGCAATGGTCCTTCCAACATAACTTATTTTGACAAAATTCTAACGAAGTTGACGAAAAGAACCATAGCTACATATTTTGATGAGTTAAGGGACTAATGATAATGAATTTTTATTTGAGGGACCATTGCTCCAATTTGATTAAAATTGAGGGACTATTGCTACAATTTACTCATTTCTTAAAGATGATTTCTTGACACATATGAAGATATTGATCTTCAAAGTGAATGAATGGTCTCAAATATGTTTATCTAATAAAATACGGTCACATCGTCATTTAAAGAGGAATAATTGCTTACATTTAAGGATTGGGGAAAATTTTAAATGTTATATGAATTTATATAATTTTATCAATTTGTCATATGAACTAAAATCTTAAGCAATTCATCATATCAAATTTCTGAAATCATAAATTTATTATATGTCATTAACTCCATTAGCTTTTTCATCCTGCATATGAATTGTGTTTTGGGATATTTAGGACATCAACTCTTCACTCCCCTTCTAAAAGGTTGGCTTGGCCAAAACAAAAATATAAGGTTTCTACAAACTAAAAATATAAATGATTATGTAATGGGAAAATATTTTTTATTCTAAAACAAAAACGAAACTTAGTATAAAGACATAATACAAATATTTTTGACTGAGTTTCTATCCAACAATATAGTCTTCAAATATATATCACATGTTCTTGAAGTATAGTTGTCCTCTAAAACGATTGAAACATCAGAGTTACATTGTTTTTACAAAGTTATTGCTCATGGTAAACAATGAAGTAAAATGAAAATGAGGTCAAATGTTCGAAATAACCCAAACACAGGACATGTGCAAGTATTTTGGATGGAAAACATAATGCTGCTAGAATGAAATACAAATCACTTAAAATTTTAATTCATATGACAAATTCAAAAAAGTGTACAAGTTCGTATGACAGTTAAAAAATTATCCTTAAATTATCCATTGTTTATTTTGCGCATGCCATCACTTGTTTTGAAAACTTCTACCTGTTATCTATACTAATTATTAAGAAAACCTCTCTCTTATCACAAAGAAAAAAAATCAACTCCCCACTGTTAGGATAAAAGATTAGTATTGCTTTACATTGCCAGGTGTCACAATTGTATTGGAAACTCTAGAAGTCAGTTATGTGTCATTGTATTTATAAGGATGTATGATGTAATAGTTGGTCATAATGATAATACAGTTTCTCTCTCTACAGTCTCTCTCTCTTAAAGTTGTCTTGAGTTCTTCATAATTTCCTCTTCATAGTTTGTTCTTAGCGTTATCATGGTATCAGAGCCAGCCATGGTTAACACCTGTGATTAACGATTCCTGTGCTTCCGCTCGTCGTCGTCGTCATCGTCGTAGTTGTAGTTGTCGTGGTTGTTCCGGTGACTGACATCGGATCCTTGCTGGTTGTTCGCAATTTCAGAGAAGTGTTGATTTCTCAAACCCTAGGTCGGTGGCATTTCTTCTTGTCGGTTGTTCGTTCTGCCATTGGAGACTGTTGATCTGTTCGTCGATCTGTGCAACTGCTGCTGTGCCGTGATTCGTACAGTCTGGTGTTCTTAGTCGGTGGAGTTTCTTCTTGTTGGTTGTTCGTTTTGTAGTCATCAACGGCTGACTTGTTCGTAGATCTTTGCAGCTGCCGTCGTGATCATCGTGAGGTGTTTTCTTTCGATTTCTTAGTATTGATATTTGCAAGATTTTGTCTATCAAAATTATTGCTTTGTGGTACCTCTTGCTGCGTGATTCTTGAGGTGTTTCTCTGTTGCTGTGTGATTCTTGAGGTGCTTTCTCTGTTGCTTTCTTGATCTATTGATTCCTGTTCTTTCAGTATGGTTACGGCTGCACAATTAGCCCTCACTCAATCTCCAATTTCGTCGCTTATACCTAGTGTTGGAAACACGGTGACTGTGAAATTGGATGATTCCAATTATGTTACTTGGAATTTCCAGATTTCTTTGTTACTAGAAGGGAATGGAATTATGGGATTTCTTGATGGAATCATTCCTTGTCCTCAGAAATATCCTGAGTTGGAGTCTGATGATGAGTCGATTGTAAATAATTCTCCACCGACTGATGCCTATCAAGTTTGGCATATTCATGATAAAGCTCTTATGACCTTGATAACTGCCACACTATCTACTGCTGCTTTATCTTGTGTTATTGGATGTCACAGCTCCAGTGATATGTGGAATCATTTGAAAGAAAGATTTGCTCATATGACTCGTACTAGTATTGTTCAAATGAAGATTGATCTGCAGAACATTAAGAAAGGGTCAGAGTCAATTGATGCTTACTTGCAGAGGATTAAAGAATGTAGGGATCAGTTAGCTATTGCTGGTGCTGTGATTTCTGATGAAGATATTGTGATTGTGGCTTTAAGAGGATTACCTACGGAATACAATACCATTAAGTCTGTGATTCGGGGCAGAGAAAGTTTGGTCTCTTTGAAGGAACTTCGGTCTCAGTTGAAGGCAGAAGAGTCTACTTTGGAAGAAGGTCTTAAACAACCACATTTAATGGCAGCTATGTTTGCTAATGCTTCTCACACCACTTATGAAACTGGTGGATCTTCCAATTCCAATTCTCGTCCATATACTGGAAACTGTGATCTGGGTTCTCATACTGGTTCATATACTGGTGGTTCTTCTTTTTCACCAATGGCTCAGTTTCAACAATTGCCATTTCCATCTCCCAATGGTCCTGTTGCTTTTGTTTCTCAGACTGGTTCTGGAACTTACAACAATTTCAGGGGGAATAACTATCGAAACAAGGGCAAAGGGAAACGGTTCAACCCTCTCTTCCGCCACAGTCTCAGTTTTAGAATTCTGGATCTCAAATGGCTTCGGGACAATCTTTTCAACCACTGTTGATTTGTCAAATCTGTGATAAAAAGGGCCATGTAGCTTTGAACTGCTTTCAGAATGGCTGTCAAATCTGCCACAGAAAGGGACACACAGCTGCCACTTGCTTTGACAGGAACAATACTGGATCTATGCCTATGCCTTCTTTCTCCTCATCTCCTATGATGTTTCCGCAGCATTCATATTAGCCTTTTTCATAGTTGCAGCCTCATCCTCAAGTGCAGCATCCTCCTATGATGTCTTCATCACAGTATCCTAATGACATGCTGTCTCCTCCCAATAATTCGCAGGCTGCTT